TAGTTCCTAGAATTATTTCCACCCCTCCTTCTGACCCTCTGTTCCTTCCCACCCTCCTCTCACACCACCTCCGGTGTCCACAATTGTCCTTCATTCCCTTCCCACTCACATTGTATTGATCACACAATTTTTTATATAATCTAACTATTTTCAATGGTGAGTTCACTCATTACTGCTAAGAAAACCAATTTTAACTTAAATCAAAGAAACATCAAGGAATTTTGCTTAAAGCCAGGAAACAGGTTAGGATTCTGTTCAAATGGTAGGTGCATGAACCTATCAGTCTCATGTACTTTTATCTTCTGTTCTGGTTCATTTTTCCTGATTAAATTCTGGGATATAATATTCAACTCCAGACTTGTCCCTATGACTAAGTTGGCCACTTTCTTAGTTTTTGGACTCTTATTTCCATGTGTCTGTGTTTAATTTTCCTGATACAGCACACCCTTGAGAGCTTCTTGGAGATCTGGTCTGGTGCTGGTAAATTCCTTCAGGTTTTGTTTATCTGAGAATATTCTTGTCTTTTTTTCCCACCTGAAAGATAATCTTGCCGGGTACAGTATTCTTGGCGGAAATTGCTTCTCTCTTAACACTTTGAATATATTTTCCCATTCTCTCCTCGCTCGCATTGTTTCTGATGAGAGATCTGCTGTTAGCCTGATTGGGTGTCCTTTGTAGGTAACTTGATGTTTTCCTCTTGCCAATCTTAGTATCTTGTCTTTGTCTGCGGTTTTGGTCAACCTGGCTATGATGTGCCTTGGGTAAGATCTTCTTGAGTTGATTCTATTTGGGGTCCTTTGTATTTCTTGGGTCTGGATATTTGAGTGCCTCTCTAGGTTTGGAAAGTTTTCTTACAGGATTTCATGGAATAGATTATCAATTCCCTTATTAGTTTCTTCACCTTCTGGGATACCGATGATCCAGATGTTTGGGTGTTTAATGGTATCTAGTATTACTCGTATGTTATTCTCATTTTGGGGGTTATTTTCTGTCTTTTTGGTGAATTTCTCTAGGTTGGAGGTTCTATCTTCTACATCTGAGATTCGATATTCTGCATGATCTAATCTGCTTTTGATATTTTCAAGGGAAGTTTTGATTTTCTGTATTACAGCTTTTATCTCTAACAATTTTACTTCTTTTTAATGATGTGTATCTCCTCTTTCAGATCATGCAAGAACTTCCTCACCTCTTGGAACTTGTCTCTTTTTCTCCTGCATCTTCTGGAGTTCGTTGTCTCTATTCTCTTGAATCTCTGTTAGCTTTATCACTATGAATATTTTGAATTCTTTATCTGACATTACCATGAGTTCCCTTGTATTCTTGGTGGAGGAAGAGGAGTTATTCTTTTCCATTAGAGGAGATACATTTTCTTCGTTTCACATATTTCTTGTGCCTCTGTGGTGGTTTAGGTCATCTAATGGATTATATGTTTTTCCCTGACTACTAGCTAGACTGGGGAGCAGGAGGGTAAAGTCTGGGTAGAGGATCTTTGGTGGTTGAAACCCCTGAATGGGGCCACTCGGAACTCAAATATAGATGTCTGCTGATTGGCTTATCCTGACTCCTGGGTGGACCGGGGAGCAGGAGGGTAAAGTCTGGGCAGAGGGTCTTCTGTGGTCAAAATTCTTTTTCTTTTTTTTTAAAGAACTATTTTATTTAACTTTATTTATTCATTTACTTATTTTAATTTGACCAGAGAGTGAGAGAAAGAGAGAGAGAGCATGAGAGAAAGAGAGAGAAAATGAGAAAGCAAGCTGCCAGGTCTGGGACTAGAACCACAATTGGTCATGTGGGAGTCCAGTGCCCTTGACCACTACGCCACCTGCTAGACCCTCTGTACTCTTCTTATTATTCAATATTATTCAATGCAAGTGTCACTACCTTTTTCTTGAAGCTCTTTATTTCTCTTTTACATCACTGACTCTTCCTGGAAACTTCTCTTTTAACTGATTTCTAAACATTGGAGTGTATATGCTTGTTCTTGGCCTCATTTTTTTTTTATGTCTTTGATACCTTTCATCCAGTTCCATGGCTCTAAATATTATGTAAATACTGTTCACTCTCATACTCTTTGATTTTACTTCTCTCTTGAACTCTTGATTCTTGATAGCTCTTTCAATGCCCAGTAAGTATCTCAATAGAAGGAATTCCGCTCTTTCTCTAGAAAGTTGTACACCAACTTATAAAGGCTACTGTTGTCTTTCCAGATCTTCACAAAAACCTAGGAGTGATCCTTGATTCTGCCCTTTTGTATATTCCTAAGTCCTACTCATCAAGAATTTTCACATGGCCTGTCTAAAAATATTCCTCCAATTCATCCACTGTCCTTCATGTGCAAGAAGTTATCTCTTACTTAACTCTGTAATAGTTTCCCAGCTGATCTCTTTGATGTCATTCTTGAAACTAATTCTTCACATAGCAGATACAGAAATATATATTTTTAAAATACTATTTTTTCAGTGGCCTTTTATTAGGATGAAGTAAAAATTCAAGATGATGTTGTAAAACAACCTTTATGATCTGGCCCCTGTACTTTCCTTTCTAATCTTATATTGTAGTTTTGCTTCTTCATTCACTCAACAATGATTTATTGAATATCTACAATGTGTCAGAAGCTGAGCTAAGCACCAGGGACCTTGTCATAATGAACCAGCCACTTGTTGATTTCTTGAACGTTCTAAGCTCTCTGGCCACAGAGCTTTTGTGTCTGCTATTCCCTGTGTCTGACATGTTCTTTCCCTAGCTCTTTGAATATTGTTCTTCTTTCTCATGTTTCAGACCTCAATATAAATGTCATTGCCTTGGAGGCCTTTCTTGAAAACCCAATATAAAATATCCACTGACCCTTCTTTTGTTGTATCATACTGCTTAATGCTGCAACTAGAACATGTTTCTCTAAGGACCTAGAAAAGTGCCCGGCACACAGAATGTAATAAATATTTTTGAATAGATTAACTTGATAGGGAGCTTCAGATGAAGTGACATCGAGTTCACTCTTTAAGAATGAGGATTTGGTTATTTAGATGTTTATCATTAGATTGAATGATCAATAGTAATGAGGTATTGATTTTGGTTATACTTTATTTATTTAACATTATTATTCTTCATATCTTTTTAAACATTATTTTATTTAACTTTATTAATTTATTTTAATTTGACTAGAGAGAGATACAGAGAGAGAGAAAGCGAGAAAACAAGCTGCCAGGTCTGGGACTCAAACCACAGTCAGCCATGTGGGAGTCCAGCACCCATAACCACCATACCACCTGCCAGTCCCTTTGCTTATACATTATTGAAATGGCCTAAAAGTTATCATTGTAGGCAAAACAGCTTGGTATGAATATTATACAAGAAACTTCCTTTGGAATCACTTTGAGGCTAGCAGTTTTGCCTATTAAAAAATTCCCCTTCTCTGTTCAGAATTAAAAATAATAGAATATGACTCTAAAAGTAATAGCTATAACTGAAATGAATCTTGGTACTACTAATAATTAATGACTAAGCATATGTTTCAAGATATAGTCACCACTCATTACAGAACATTTATTTGCCAAGTGTTGTGCTTAGAACCTGTGCTCACAAAAATACTTAGGGAAAATACTTATCCTGCATTGAAGATCAATGCCAGTTTGGAAGACTGGAATTTTCCACCATTGTTTGCCAAGGAAAGGCAAGTTTCTGGTCTTAGCTACTCTTCTTTCTCATGGGAGTGAATGTAGGACAATGCATGCAGCCCAGGTCTTCTCTATTCTGTCAAATGCTTATACTCCAGACTTTGTCACTTTTACTAGAACCACATGGACTGTATATAAGGTATAAAACTACATATTTTATGATAAAATTATAATTGTCACAAGTAATGCACTTCATAGACAATTAAATAATTCTAATAATGAAACAAAATGCCCAATTAAGAAGAATAGATGAGCAAGGTAAAATTTAAAATATCTTTGAATTCAAAATGAATCTCATGAGGTTCCTACATCTTTCAAGTTGTAAGTTGAAACATGAACCACGCTGATTGTTCAATCCCATTTTGGATATTTTGAGGAATTTATTTGAACTAATATATATATATTTATTTTAGTAATTATGTAGTGCTTATAGTAGTTAAGCAATATATGAGATGAGCCAAGCATTAGATCTGAATTTGGAAACAAGACAAGGACTACATTATTAGGATCAGTAAATGGTTATCTGGAATTAGTTCTGGAAACCTGGGCTCTATTTATGGGGGGAAGAAGCCCATTCTTTCTCAACAGTCCCTATGTCAAGAAATTATATCACAACACATGCCATTGCAAAATCAGAAACTTTGAAGTCATAACAGTGGCTCAGCTTATAGATAACTATTTCCAGGAAGCCTTCTCTAACCCCAGGCTGAGTCAGGGTTACCACAATATTTATGAAAAAACAATCGTCTTATAGTCTCATTACTTTTTGACTGTAGGTTTCTTGAGGTCTGGAACTATCCTTTCTTCTTCAGTGCTACATTAAATAGTTCAGAGCCTGAAGATCATAGGTACCCAATATATATTTGAATAAGTAAGTAATATAATGAACATGGCATATTATATAAAATGGCATGCACATAACTAGAGTAAATTAGAATGCATTCGGTACTCAGGATTCTTCTCCAAATAAGAGCCGTTAGGAGAGAGTTCAGATATATTCATAATTACTAGAAACAAGTAAGAGATATAGTCTGTAGAGGGAAAAAATTAATGGAAAAATAATATAGAGAAGAAAAAGCATACATATTCCTTCTCAGAGAAACTTTTTTTGGTTGATAAAGTATGGAGACATTGGGGTATAGGGGAGAAAATCAGATAAGAGGGCAGAATTATGCAAATAAATACATTAAGAAGTAGTGGTTCATAAGCTAATTTTAGAACACATTCAGAATAGTTTTTCTGATACATTTTATAGCTATTTCAACATACCAATATTTTTCAGTAATTTCATGTAAATATTTTTAAATTAATTTTTCTTTATATTACCTTCACATGCTGAAGTTGGTTGTCAACTGCTATGAGCTGATTAAGATTCTCCAGTATTTCTAAGTCTCTTATGTCATCAATATTGTTATTGCTGATATTCAGTATAGAGAGAGATTTCTGTAAGAAAAATAACTAAATTAGCATCTGTAAATAGTGTAGTTATATAATGTATATAAGAAACAAAAATCCTCATTCTTGACAAGTTTACCAATTCAGGCTGTTTTGTACTTTAGGCAAGAAAATTAAAAGCCATGTAGATTTGTTTCTATACTGTATTTTCTTTCAGATGGAACTTTAGAACTAGAGTATGTGACATAACTTACTTTTTGAAGAATCTACAGTTCTTCCTTAAGTCATATATTTCTTTTCTAGAATACAAGACATATTTATAGAATAAAGAAGCCAAGAATTAGGCTGGTCCTATAGCTTCGTGATTAAGGAAACTACATCTCAGATGGCTGACCCTATTTGGATCCTAGTCCAGGAAGCTTGAAAAGCACACTAGATCATGAGTGTCCAAAGTTCCAACAAGATGGAGAAATGGAGGAAAAGAGATTGCAGTGTGATTTCATCCCATTGAGGAGTGCTTTCTCCCTGTCCATCTCTGTTTCTTTTTGACAAGAGCACATATCCCTTGACAATTAAAAAAACAAAACAAGAATCAAGAAGCAATGAGAGAGAAAAAAATGTCCTGATACACAAATGATAACACAATGTAGAAAAAAATGTTTATTTCAGTTTAAGCAAATAATCATTTTGTGCTAAACATCACTAAAACTTGTATTTACATAGAAAGTACTTTTCTTTGTCTTTCTAAATAGAAAACAAGACTAAGAATAAAGACTATCTAGTTTGTTTTTATTTATTTTAGTTTGCTATAGGGTGCATGAGAGAGAGAAAGAGAGAGAGAAAGTGAGAAATCGCCCCCTCCCAGGGGGTATGGCCACATCGCCATACTTCTCTCAGGATTTTGGGCATGTACACACATGTGCCAGGCATGTTTTTCAAACTGCTGGGTCCAGTACTTGAACTGCGTAGTTGGCCATGTGAGATCCAGCCACCTTAACCTCCGTATCACCTGCTGGCCCTATCTGATGGTTTTCATTTTTATCTCTACCTCTCTACACAGTTTTCTCTTGACAATCTGTACATTCAAGATTGTACATTACATTCACTTAAAATAATAATTAGCTAAGAATTTTGATGTTAGGTCTTAGGATATAAACACACAACACAGCAACACTTAATTGAAGTCTGCTTTAAGTCTGAGCCCCAGGAATCTCTGCCAATTTGGAGTATGCCCACCGAGGTGTCCACACAAGGCCAGCTTTTAGAAAAAAATACTTGGTGTAGTGACTAAGGCACTGCACTCAAACATAGCCAATCACGTTTTGAATTCTGGACCCAGTGGTTTGAAAATCATGGACGCATGTGTGCACATGCCCAATTTTGAGAGAAGGGATGGCAGTGTGGCCAGATCCTCTGGGAGTGATTTTTCACTTTCCCTCTCTCTGGCAAGTGCATGTGAATTATGATAAAAATGCTAAAAAATAAAATGAAAATTTAAAAATTTTGCCAGTACTTTTTAAGACTTGAAATAAAACTGGAAAAAAAAGTGATGTCTTTTATTTAGAGTTTAAGACTCTGCTTAAATTTGTACAAAAATTGAACCAGCAAAAATGGTTTCTCTAGTGTTTGGTAATAAAACTAGCCATCCCCATAGTGGGGTCAGTCTAATGGGATCAGGTGAGGTTGAGCTGAAGTTGGTGATAGTTGACTTTACAGGTAAGTTGGGGGATTGGGTAGAATAGGAACTAGGTTGCTTCTTTTTTATTTTTCTCTCCAGTTTAATGGACTATCTCTCTAAAGTTATAAATTTGGTTCAAAAACCATCCACTGCCCTCCATTTCTTGGACCTCTAAGATAAAACTGATGAAATCTGTAAAACAACAACCATGTCTCATTTATGTCTCCTGCCCCAGAACTGAAAACTGCCCATCTCAACAAGTCCTCTGTTTGGAAGATTAGCAAAAGCCTCAATAGCACCTTCTGGCTTCTCAATGTATTATGGTACCTCCATGCAATGCGATGTGTCAAGCGCCACAGAAAGCCACAAACCCAGCGTTCCACGCACGCCTACTTAGTTCTGATGAGTCAGAACTGTATGTAGTGAAACCTACAGTCAGGATCCTCGGACAAAATAACTTATCATTGCAGTGGCTCTTTAGGTTGTTTAAAATTTGCCAAATAAATGTGCACTTTTTTATTCTTAGGCTTTTTCCTAAAATTTAAAATTTTGAGCCATGATAATCACTAAAATTCAAAGTATTAATGAATCAACATGTGTTTTAGAATTTCATTTTTCATAACCTTTCTGTATCTCTCTTTTGATCCTTCCAGTTACCCTACAAGGCAGGCATTGTTATCCCACTTTCCAGAAACTGATCCCCTGAGACATTATGTGAGACAATCAGCTTCAACCTTCAAATAAGCCTTGAAATGGCCATATAAACATTCAGAATATGTACAGTGTCCAAATACTTGTAACCACCTTCCTGTTCCATTATAATTTGTAGGTAATTATATTTCTCATAAAGATATTCCAACATAGGGACCAGGAGATGGCATAATGGTTATGTCAGTGGTCTCCCATGTAGTAGACTCGCAATTTGAGTCCTGGACTGGGAGGCTTAAAACCTACACTTGGGTGCATGTGCATGCATGCCCCAAATCTCGAGAGGATAATGGAGAAGGGATTGTGGTGTGGCATCCCCCTGGGGAGGGATTGTTCACTTTCTGTCTCTCTGTCTCTCTGGTGAGCACACATGCCCTGTAACAAAAATCTCTCTCTCTAAAGAAAAAAAGATATTCTAACTTAGCCTTACTGCCAGAGAATGAAGAGTTCTTGGGTCAAACAGAAGCTTTTCTCCGAGGGGAAGTCTCTGACTCTCAACATGAAGCTCCCTTAGTTCTTCTAATCCTTCTAACCCTTCTATGACAGCAATGTAATTGCCTCCAAGATACCTGCAAAACATACACATAATTCTAAATAGACATCCTGAGAACACCATTAAACATGATGAAAGCATATTTTTAAAATAAATATTTTAACATTATTTATTTTTAAAATTTGACCACAGAGAGACAAAGTGAGTGTGAGAGAGGGAGGGAAAGTGAGAAAGCAAGTTGCCAGGTCTGGGACTTGAACCATGGTCAGTCATGTGGGTGTCCAGCGTCCTTAACTACCATGCCACCTGCTGGCCCCATGAAAGCATAATATATTGAAATCACTGAGCAGTGTGAAAATTATCCATGCAGGGCCCAGTAGACGGTGTAATGGTTTTGTTGTTGGACTCCCACGTGTTCAAATGCAGTTTGAGTCTTAGACCCAATGGCTTAAAACTCATGCCAGATGCATGCACATGCTCAAAATCCCAAAGGGAGAATGGAGAAGGGATTGTGGCATGGCCATCCCACCCCCTCGCTTTCTCTCAGTCTCTCTGGTGAGTGTGTGTGCCCTATAGCAAAAAGCTCTCTTAAAAAAATTATACATGCAGAATTTTGTGTTTATACTGGTTCTATAAAAGGCTTAGATAAATGACAATAAATTTTATTTTTACACTTATTTAGTCTAAAAAGTGTATTTTTTTTTTTTAAGTAACAGAATTAAAACAGTTCTTTTAAAAGTATCTACCAGGGCTTCTCATGTGTTAGATAGAAAGTGAGAAATGACACCCGAGGGGTGAAGGTCATGCAGTAATCCTTTCTCCTCTATTTCCTCTCAGGATCTTGGGCATGCATGCACACATACCTGGCATGAGTTTTAAGTCGCCGGATCTGGGACTTGAACTGTAGTCAGTTATGTGGGAGTCCAGCAACATAATCATTATGCCATCTGCTGGTACCAATAATTTGCATTTTTATAGAGTTTTTTAAAATAAATATTTATTACATTTTATTTATTATTATTATTATTATCCAATGTGAGCAGAAAGAGACAGAGAGAGAGAGTGAGAAAGCAAGCCTTCAGGTCTGGGACTCAAACCATGGTTGGCCTTGTGGGAGCTCAGCACCAAAACCACCATGCCACCTCCCAGTCCCAGTAATTTGCACTTTCAATAAGCATTTCCTTCTCTTGTGTCTCCCTGCTAGGACCTGTGGCCCTCTTTTTGAGAAACATGATAATTATTCTAATCTGGGCAAATTGTATCTACCAGTATTTATAATCATTACAGGCAGTAAGTGCCTTTTACAATCATATCTATATCAACATTACCGGTTTTATGACCTTGACCTTTTAAGATGTGTGATTTGGAAAGTCTCAATATTCAACTGGATTTCATGGAAACTTGTCAGCAGTTGAGCCTACATGAGGATGTCCCTATAAGCCTGTAAAACAACTTAGCCCCACAAAAAAAGAAGTCTATCAGGCTTACTAAAACACAAATTGCTGAATATTACATGTGAAACAACTTATTTTTTATTACTAGTACAAGAGAATAAAAATTAAGGCCTGTGAGAATCACATTCAATTTCATATTCAATTTACTTCTGGAACCTAATGCAGAAAATGGAGATGCTTCCAGGCACAAAATATATAAGTACTTGACTTATAACAAATAGTTACATTACTCAAAAATAAAAGCACTTACAGTTTTTCCAGTTTCTTTAATGATCTGAGGCTTTCTATACATGAAATACAATTGTTTTGTAGGTACAGGTGGGTCAGATTTGTGGCATAATTCAGGTTAGTAATTTGACTAATACGGTTATCATATAAATATAAAACACTAAGATTTTTGCAGAGAGAGAGGTCTTCCTAAAAGGAAAACAAAAACAGGTCATATTTAATTTCCCCTGAAAACTTAGTTTGTTTTTAAGAATGTTTTTCACTTGATCATTCTGCAAATTTCCCTTAAGTTAATATAAATAATAATATTTCTCTGTTCTTAGCAGTCAAAACAAAACTAGAATGATAATAATATCTAGGTTTTAGTATTCTGTAATTATATCAATAAAATCATATTTTCTAAGAAAATTTATTAGGCAATTTTTCTTAGAACCAATTAGTTTCATTTGGAAGTTGAAGCACTGAACAAATTATTGTCCCAACATTTTATTTTTTTAATTGTATTTATTTATTATTTTTTTGCCAGCATGCATGTGCACTTGCCAAAGAGTAAGAAAAGGAGAGAAAAGGGTAGCGCACCCTCCAGAGGGGCATGGTCACACTGCAGTCCCTCCTCCATTTCACCATTCTCTTGGGATTTGGGGTCCACATGTTCATGTGCCTGGTCTATCTTTTAAGCTTCCAGGGCTGGGATTCTAAATATGGTTGGCCCTGTAGGATCTGCCTCCTTTAACCACCAGGCTATGGGGCCAGCTCCCAACATTTTAAATTAGGGCTTAATTTTTCTGTAGGCCTGGAGGTAAACCATTGTGTTCGTAATATTGAAAGTTGGAAGTCGTCTATGAAGATGCTATTTGGGCCAACAGTTGGTGTAATGGCTTTGTCGCTGGACTCCCATGTAGCCAACCACGGTTCAAGTACGGGACATGGTGGCTTAACCTCATGCCAGATGTGTGTGCGTGCGTGTCCAAGATCCTGGGAGGAGAATGGAGGAGAAGGGATTGCGGTGTGGCCATCCCCCCTCGGGGGTGATTTCTCGCTTTCTATCTCTCTGTCTCTGTCTTTCTGGCGAGCACACACGCCCTATAGCAAAAACCTCTAAAAAAAAAAAGTTGCTATTGATGGCAATAGTATAGAACCATTAAATATCCTTTAGTTTCTTCAGTTACCATGTATGTTTCATAACACATAATTAAGTGAAAACAGTATACTGAATATGACCTGCAGTTGTAAAATTATATGAACACATGCTTAGAAAAAAGACTGAAAGGACATGGGAAAAGTGGTTATCTGTAAATAGTAGCATTATATATATTCTTCCCTTTTATATTATTTTATACAAATGAACACCAATTACTCTTGAAATAAGAAAATACTTTAAAGTGTGTGTGTGTGTGTGTGTGTATGTGTGTGTTTTGCCATAGAGTGCATGAGCTGGCTGGACAGACACACACACACACACACAGAGAGAGAGAGAAAGTGAGAAATCACTCCCCCCCAACTCCCAGCGGTGATGGCCACACCCCCTCCCCTCTCTTCCCATTTTCCACTTGGGGTTTTTGTTATGCACGCACACATGTCCAGTGTGATTTTCAAGCTGCTGAGTCCAGGACTCAAAATGTGATCGTCCATGTGAGAGTCCAGTGCCCTAACCACCACACCACCTGTTGGTCCCAAAGGTATTTTTAAAAGGTAGTCTTTTTTTGTATGGGGTAGAGTCAGCTTAGATTAAGTAGACAAGAAGTAAAGTGAAAGTTTTGCTCAAAAACATCTTAGCTGGGATCAGCAGTTAGTGTAATGGCTATGTTGCTGAGCTCCCATGTATGACTATGGTTTGAGTCCCGGACCTGACGACTTAAGCTGACACCGGGCGCGTGTGCATGTGTGCCCAAGATCCCAAGAGGGGGATGGAGGAGAAGGGATTGTGGTGTGGCTGTCCCCTCTGGGGGGTGATTTCTTGCTTTCTATCTCTCTGTCTTTCTGGCGAGCGCACGCGCCCTATAACAAAACCCTCTAAAAAACAAAACAAAACAAAAAAAAACTAGGACCAGCAGTTAGCCTAATAGCTATGTCGCTGGACTCCCATGTAGTTGACTGCGGTTCGCGTCCCAGACCCGGTGGCTTAAAACTCACGCTGGGCGCGTGTGCGTCTGTGCCCAAGGTCCCGAGAGGAAAATGGAGGAGAAGGGATTGTGGCGTGGCCATCCCACTGGGGGTAGTAGTGGTGGGGGTGGTGGTGGTGGTGTGATTTCTCGCTTTCTGTCTCTCTGTCTCTGTCTGTCTGGTGAGGACCCGCACCCTATAGCAAAAACCTCTAAAAAAATAAAATAAAACACCTTAGCCTTCATTAAGTTCTTTTAAACTATAGCCACATTTTGGAAACTTCCAAGTTTACAAGTTATCCACACTTTGGAATGAATTATTTTAACCAGTTTTTCTGCCTAACAAAAAAATCATTCACACTGGAGGAGTACTGATGTGAGGACAAACATACGTTAAATGGGTACTCTCTGGAGAATGCACTGTATATGGTATAATAAGAAAGAGAACTTTGGTGAACTAAAGAGAAATGTGAACTTTGGATAAATGAATTCTTGAGAAGGATCACTACGAAACCAGAAAGGGATTTAGAATGAGAATGGGACTGGGTTTCTGGAAAAAACAAACAAACAAGTATTTCTTAACACTTCTGCCTGAAGCTTTAATATTAAATTCATTCATTAAAGTACTTGATATGAGTCAGGAACTGTTTTGGATGGGGGTTTATGAGCGATGGGAACAAGGGACCAGGAGATGGCATATTACTGGACTCCCATGTACTTGAAGGCAGTTTGAGTCCCGGACCTGGCAGCTTAAAACTCATACCATGTGCATGAGTGGCCAAAATCCCAAGGAGAGAATGGAGGAGAAGGTATTACAACATGGCCATTCCCTCTGGGCATGATTTCTCTCTTTCTCTCTCTCCCTGCCTCTCCAGCAAGTGCATGTGCCCTACAGCAAAAATATCTCAAAAAAAAAAAAAAAAGTGAGGAAACATAATAGACATGATCTCTGCCCTCATGTAGTTTATATATTTCTGAGAAAATGTCTTTCATCTGTAGTCTTTAGCACTTATTGTAGACTGCAGATACCAATATGAAGGCCCTGAGGGCTGGTTACTATGCTCTTTAATGTTTCTCAGTTAAGACCAAGAATTACCTTACAACAGAAAATGTAGTTTCAAAGAATAGCAAGTAATTATAATCTTGCCTGATATAGCTGACCAGTATAACACACATTTATATAACTCATTAAATTATGTGAAAAAATATTTCATTGTTAAAACTTTTTAAATATGAGGAATAATAGGTGGCATAGAGGTTAAGGCACTGGACTCCCACATGGTTGACCACAGTTTGAATCCTGGACCCGGCAACTTAAAACTGACTCCGGGCACGTGTGTATGTGTGTGTGTGTGTGTGTGTGTGTGTGTGCGCCCAAAATCCTCAGAGGAGAATGAAGAAGAAAGAATTGCAGTGTTACCATTCCTCCTTGGGGGTTACTTCTCACTTTCTCTTCTCTGTCTCTTTGGCAAACACGTATGCCCGATAGCAAAAATCTTAAAACAAAACAAAAAAAGAAAACCCAAAGTTTTGAAAAATTATATTGGGGCCAGCCAGTGGCCTGATGGTTAAGGCATTGGACACTCTCACATGGCCAATCTCAATTTGAGTCCTGGAGGGGGTGGCTTGCTTTCTCACTTTCCCTCTTTCTTTGTGTCTCTCTCTAGTCAAATTAAAATGAATGAATGAATAAATAAAATTAAATAAGTCTTTTTAAAGAAAGAAATATATTATTTGCATAGTTATTAACACTTTGATGTGTTAAAAATTACATTCGAAGGTTGTGGAATAATGCAAAAGTAATTATGAAATTATTTTCCAACATACATTTTTAAATCTAGTTTGCTATACTATTGAGTATTGTAGGGGAACAGTAACATTTATATTTAAAAGCCACAATGGTAGTGGCTTAATAAATTTAATATCAGAAGTAGGAAATTAAAATGAAAACACAATATAAAGCTTACTGATAAAAATAAAGTTAATAAGTATAATCAAAATATAGTTAACAGGAACCAGCAGGTGGTATGGTGGTTAAAGTGCTGGACTCCCACATGGTTAACCACAGTTCAAGTCCCGGACCTGGAATTTTGCTTTTTCACTTTCCTTCTCTCTCTCTGTCTGTCTCTGGCAAGTGCAAGTGCCTTGTAGCAAATTAAAAAAAAAATGATGATGATAAATAAAATTAAATAATTCTCTCAAAGATGTAATTATCAGATATGCCCTCAAACTAATTTGTAAACTTCATATTATTATATAAAAATAGGAACAATTTCAGAGTTCTTACAATTGCATCTATATTTTTGTCTGAAAAGTTTACATGAGTTATTTTCTTTAGGTATTGTGAAATTGTTTCTTCTTTTCGAAGTTTAAGATTGCTGTGTTTAGCAATTAGATCCAACGTCAGTCGAACCATGACTTTTTTAAGGCAAACGCTCAGCAGTAGCTCTGTTTTAATGCCATATCAAGAAGCAGATTTAGGTATTATTTATCTCCAATTTTCTGAAAAAGAAAAAAAGAAATGTTAATATATCACATATAATTTAGGAAAAATTTTTGTCTTACTCTTTAATTTTCATATATAAAATTATTTGATAAGCTAATTCATGGCTATTTTTGGAAGAACTGAGGTATTTTTTGAGTGCATGACTAACTGTTTTTTTTTTTTTTTTTTTTTTTTGGAGAAATTTTCTCTATAGGCGTGTTCGCTCGCCAGACAGATAGAGAGAGAGACATAGAGACAGAAAGCGAGAAATCACTCCCCAGGGGGGATGGTCACGCCACAATCCCTTCTCCTCCATTCTCCTCTCGGGATCTTGGGCACGCACGTACACGCTCCCAGCATGAGTTTTAAGCCACCGGGTCCGGGACGCGAACCGTGGTGGACTACGTGGGAGTCCAGCGACATAGCCATTACGCTAACTGCTGGTTCCCGATGACTAACTCTTTTTTTAATAAAAAGATTTAAAACACCAAAGTAATTAAATGGCCACTACTTATTTATTTTAATTTAAAAACCTTTTTCTTCCCTAAGTAGAAATGAATCATTATTGTGGTCATCTTTTTTTTTTTTTTCCTAGAAGGCATGTGTGCTTACCAGAGATAGAGAAAGGAAGTGAGAAATTAACTCCCATGGGGCACACTCATACTGCAATCCTTTCTCCTCTGTTTCTCCCTGCTATCAGAATTTTAGGTATACATGCACACAGCCTGGTGTTTTTCTTTCTTTCTTTTCTTTTTTGGAGAGGTTTTTGCTATAGGGTGAGTGTGCTCACCAGAAAGACAGAGAGACAGAAAGCGAGAAATCACCCCCTAGGGTGGGGATGGCCACACCGCAATCCCTTCTCCTCCATTCTCCTCTCAGGATCTTGGGCACGCACACACAAACACCTGGAGTTTAAGCCACCGGGTCTGGTACTTGAACCACGGTCGATTATATGGGAGTCCAGCAACATAGCCATTATGCCAACTGCTGGTCCCAACTTTTCCATTATCTTAAAATTAGACTAATCTTAAATTTAGACATCCCTATTTATGTCTATCTACTTTTATAACAGATGTATGCATACATAAACAATACATAATACTACTTTTCCACTATTTTACATGTCATCAATAACATTCTGTCTCCATCTTTCCTTTTTACCGTTTTATTTATGAAAGTCATCTGCATTGGGACCAGCAGTTAGTGTAATGGCTATGTCGCTGGATTCCCGTGTAGTTGACTGTGGTTCGCGTTTTGGACCCGGTGACTTAAAACTCATGCTGGGGGGACCAGCAGTTAGTGTAATGTCTATGTCACTGGACTCCCATGTAGTCAGCCGAGGTTCGCGTCCTGGACCCAGTGGCTTAAAACTCATGCCAGGCGTGTGTGCGTGTGTGCGTGCGTGCCCAAGATCTCAAGAGGAGAACAGAGGAGAAGGGATTGTGGTGTGGCCATCCCCACCCTAGGGGGTGATTTCTCGCTTTCTGTGTCTGGCAAGCGCACGTGCCCTATAGCAAAAACCTCTCCAAATAAATAAATAAATAAACAAGTCAGTGTATGTAGCTTTAGAGTATTTGCACTGCTGTATAATATTCTCCTTAAGATGCTTATTTCTCCTGATGATTGAACTTTGAGAGTATTTATTTACTTATTTTGCTTTTACAATGTTGCTTTTATGAGTTTGTATATGTATCTTTATCAAATGAGCAAGAGCTTCTTTCAATTTTTACACTATGAGTGGCTGTGTCTAGGTTGCACATATCCAACTTTACAAATTATTCTCCAAAGGGGTTTTACTACTAGCAGGTAAATGGGTTCCCATTGCTCTATAGTAGAGTCTATACCATCATCAACACTTGATGCTAGCAATCTTAACTTTTTCTCAAACTTATGGGTGTCAGATATCATATCATTGTTTTAATTTGTTCTTTACTTACAAGAGTGATTGAGATAATTTATTGGGCTGTATGGAGTTCCTCTTCTGTTAATTGTTATTTATATATTTCACTCATTTTTTCCCATTGGGTTGTGTTTTATATGTAATTTTTAGAATGTGCACACATTTCTGTCATATACTAATATTATGTTGGTTATATGGGGGTCTACAAGAAGTTCATGGAAAAATGTTTATTATGAAAAATGTATGCATGGATTTCAAAAATATTTTGTACCAAAATATTTTCCATGAATTTTTTGAACTTCCTTCACATGCATTGCAAATATCTTTTCAGACTAATTTATCTTTCACCATTTTTTGCTTATTTTGTCTTCTAAAAAACAGAAGCTTTATTTTTTTCCTCTATTATAATTTATAATTTATAAATAATCATTATACACCTTTGTAGGGTACAGAATGGTCTTTAAAAGCATGTATACAGTGTAGAATAAGCAAATTGAAGATATAAACATATTCACCACCTTCAATATTTAACATTATGTTGTGAACATTCAAAACCTGTTCCTATGGTTACTCTGTAAGTCTGTACTGAATTGTCCATGACCTTCTCTTACTGTGAGATAGAGTTCTAAAGAAAAACATATTGATTAAAAACCAGGCAACAGTTCATAAATTTACAAAGATAATCTTAACATAGTGAATGAAAGAAGAATTTGTCATTTCCACGTAGAAGACTATGGGAGATAAGAATTTATAATATGAAAAAAAATCTGTGAGTATCAGTCATTGGCCCACTTAGAGATAGGTAAAATTATATGTAACAGCAGCTAATTAGGAATAGATAGAAAAGGACACTTTTACACATACATTGTGAGTTATTTTAAAACCATAGTACCATATTGTGCATAAAGAAATAAATTCTCAAAAAAGCAACAATAAAACAGAATTAGGGTTCTTTCCTTTCATCACTGCGGGGGCAGCCATGAGTATGCTCAGGCTTCAGAAGAGGCTTGCCTCTAGTGTCTTCCACTGTGGCAAAAAGAAGGTCTAGTTGGACCCCCAATGACACCAATAAAATTGCCAATGCCAGCTCCTGTCAGCAGATCCAGAAGCTGATCAAGGATGGGTTGATCATCTGCAAGCCTGTGACTGTCCATTCCCAGGCTCGATGCCAGAAAAAACGCCTTGGCCCGCTGGCAGGGCAGGCATATGGGCATAGGTAAGCGAAACGGTACAGCCAATGCTAGAACACCAGAGGTGACCTGGATGAGGAGAATGAGGATCCTGCACCAGCTGCTCAGAAGATACTGGGAATCTAAAAAGATTGACCGGCACATGTATCACAGCCTGTACCTGAAGGTGAAAGAGAATGTGTTCAAGAACAAGCGGATTCTCATGGAGCACATCCAAAAGCTGAAGGCAGGCAAGGCCCGCAAGAAGCTCCTAGCAGACCAGGCTGAGGCCCACAGGTCTAAGACCAAGGAAGCACGCAAGCACTGTCAGGAGAACCTCCAGGCCAAGAAGGAAGAGATCATCATGACTCTCTGTCCAAGGAGGAAGAGACCAAGAAATAAAACTCCCCATCTCTTGTCTGTACATAGTGGCATTGGCAGTTACTCAGATAATCGTTTAAATAAAAGAAGGCTTTATCTACTAAAAAAAAAAAAAATAGATGTTTAAAAACAAAGACATGGTAATGATGTATAGGTTTTATGAAGTTCTTGAACTTAGCCTTTTATTTTATTTTTTTCAAATTCATTCCAAAGAAAGACTCAGTAGTAACATTTTGGACTTTTCCTCTATTATCTAGTTTTGTACAATGAGTAATGATTATAATAAATATGTAAACTGAAACCTGTGAAGACAACTGTCTATCAAATAATCAGTGCATCTGTATTTAAACCTGCTTGTTTGTCAAATAGTTAAATCTGCATTTATCCCAACATTCAATGTTATTACCAACATGTGTGGACTTAATCTTTTTTCCTAGTTGTTTTGTGTTCTCTTCTGTCTCTCTTTATCTTTCCTAGTATAGAAGTCTCTTAAGCATTTCTCTTAGCTGGTTTTGTTTTGGTGGATTCTTTCAGCATTTGATTATCCTGGAATGATTTTATTTCTCCTTCCCATTTGAAGGATAATCTTGCTTGGTATAATACTCCTGACTGAAATTGCTTTTCTTTCAGAGTTTTAAATGACTTCCCATTCATTCCTTGCCTGCATTATTTCAGCTGAGATCTGATGTTAATCTAATGGTGTAACCTTTGTAAGAAACTTGGTATTTTTCTCTTTCCATTTTAAAAATTTTGTCTTTGTCTTTGATTTTTACTGACTTGGCTATGATATGCTTTGGAGAGGCTCTTATGTTATATCTATTTGGAGTCCTTGGTATCTCCTGGATTGGGATGTTTACATGCCTCTCTATTTATTTATTTTTAAGAGAGAGTTTTGCTATAGGGTGCATGTGCTTACCAGAGAGACAGAGAGACAGAAAACAAGAAATCAACCCCGGGGGGAATGGCCATGCCACAATCTTTCCTGTCTCTCTGTCTCTCCAGCAAGCACAGGTGCTCTATTGCAAAAAATCTCTCTCTGAAAAAAAAAGAATTACATTGCATTTATAAACAAGTTGCAAAGCACTGATATTCCTCTAATATTGAGCCTACTTTTCCATGAGTATGGTATGTCTCTTCATTTTGGGAGTGCTTCTTTGATAATTTTTCAGTAGTTTCATATATATATTCTATAATTAAGGCTGTGTATAAGTTTTTTTCTGAAATTACTCTTTGGAGTCATATATTTTTGTGGATATTGCCAGTGGCATTCTTTTAGAAATTACATTTTCTGGGTACCAGCAGTTGGCATAATGGCTATGTCACTGGACTCCCATGTAGTGGACCACCGTTTAAGTCCCAGACCCAGTGACTTAAACTCATGCCAGGTGCGTGTGTGTGCGTGCCCAAGGAGAAGGGATTGCAGCATGGCCGTCCCCATGGGGGGTAATTTCTTGCTTTCTGTCTCTCTGTCTCTCTCTGTCTTTCTGGTGAGCACATGTGCCCTATAGGAAAAATCTTTCCAAAAAAATAAAAAGAAATTACATTTTCTGGTTATAACTACTCTATA